TGTAAATGTAATATCTGTAAATGTTCACGGGTATCATAGTTGTCGTAAAGTAAATCATCGGATCGAAATTTTTGTACGTCATCCTTACTCTAACGAGTCAAAGTAAGAACGACTTCTAACAAGGTGTCGTTCACCTCGACGCGTGTATTTTCGACAGAATTGGATTCTGTCAGGAACGAGAACCCGTGTAGATGTAGTTATGATGTAGTACGGCTAGAGTCTGTTGTCACGAACGTTGAGAGGACACAATAGTCTCTCGTCTATATTATAACGCCTCAAATGGGTTTTTTCGAAATATTTATTTGCACATGGTTATGACTCGGAGAAATGTCATTCACTAACTGGTGTGGAAGGGAACGTATGTCCCCATGCACTACTCATTCACGAAATGTTTAACACTGTTTAGAGTCACGCGACACTATCCGCCGTAGATTGAACAAAGTCCCGTTATCCACGTCCACGTAAGTATAGTTGGTTAGTGGTATCAGGTGTGTCCAGTTTTCCAGTGTCACTGATCGGAAAAGGGACCAAAGTCGGCTCTCTTTTGTCCTATGTTTATTTATTTTATTTTTAGCAAAATAAAGCTAAAACAACAAAAGTAATTAGCAACGTTCGGTTTTAGCCATTTAACGCTAATGTTAACTATGTAAATGTATCCTGTATTGTTTTATGTTTCATGTGGAACCTATATGCTGCAGGTCTCCCTTGAAAAAAGAGATCTATGATCTCAATGGGACCAATCTGGTTAAATAAAGGTTTGAAATTAAATGAAAATGCCTTGACATGTTTTCCTGTGATTAAGATTGATGTTCACAATGTGAATTTACTTTCAAATACAAACAACAGCAGAGATTCATTTTTGCTTTTCCTGAATGATGGCCCAAAAGCATTTTCAACATTACATGTTAGACGCTTTTATCCAAAGCAACTTACATACTCAATACTGTGGGCAATCCCCACAGGAGCAATTTGGGGTGAAGTGTCTTGCCCAAGGACACAACGACATGCTGACTGCAGTGGGGTTTGAACCTGTGACCCCCCGATCCGAACGCCAAGGCTCTATCCACTGCGCCACACGCCTCAACAATCCTACACAACACTGTTGTCTCAGGTTCTTAAAAGTCAATGTGTTTTATTTACTAAAAATGCTCTCTGTAAGTATGTGTCACTAGATACGTTTGTCTAAAGGGTCTCCTCTCAGTTTGTGTCTGCAGATCATGGATAGTCTTCAATGAATGACAACATGGCAGGTTCCAGGCTCCTTCTAACAATCAGCAAGTGACATCCGAGATTATATGTCCCTATTTTCTACAGTTAATGCGTAAAGTGCTTTTCTATAGCATTTTTTTCAGGAGAATGAGTGCTCAATTGCAAATGTAGCAATGCACGTAGGTGTATTTCTTTATGATTCTGCGACTAAACAGATTAGCACCCACCTCCAATGTCAGGCCTTAGCTTGTTGTCATATCCGTCTAGTAGGCTGTTTAGGATGTGTGTGACGTCACTCTCGATCACTTTGGGAGTCAGCACCCACGTCTTGTTAGCAGTCT